GGGGGGTTGGAGGGGGGCTCCTAGCCTTTAAAAGCTACGTAAAAAGTTTGGAAAACACGCCGGAGACTGAATCGTTCCTGCCTTTGAACCCCTGCGGTGTCTCTGGTTTGGTGATTTCACGAGAGTAACTTCTGAAATTCACAAAAGGAGGGGTGGCCTCGCCTCTTCCCAGGAGTCATGGAAGCAGGAGTGTCCGGCATTTTAAAATCGGATGTCCTGTTGCTTGGAGCGATTTTCATGAAAATACATTCTTTCTGGCAGGCGTGTTTTTTTTTCTTTTTTTTTAATTTTCTTGAGAAAACAGGTGGGAGGGGGTGTTTTCACGGGTGTTCCCAATCCCACATAGCCAGAGCTTTTCTCCCAGAGGCCGTGGAAATGGTGGGCACCTGGAAACACGGTGAGAAGCCAGGAGGCACCGGAAATGCCAGATTTTGTTGAAGATCTAACCCAGGACCTGGCCCTCCCCAGGGTGGGCATGGATTCCCTTTGGAGCCCAGGAGGTGCTAGGACACAACGCTGAGAGAATACCCATGGGATCCCACCAGGGTCTGGCTGGGATTCTCTGGGCAGGCGAGGGCAGCCATGAAGATTGGGGGGTGGGGTCCCCCATTGTGCTGGCCTACTAGGGGTCAGTGGTTCCTCTTGCTGCCAGCAATAGGATGAGCTTAAAAAAAAACCAAAAACCTCGAATGTAGACAATGTAGAAGTTTTGGAATCAGAGAAAGTCGCCCAGGCGAGGAGGTTCCCTACCCATAGACTATGAGACTATGAACAGAGCGTCTCTGTAAGGAGGTTTGGAGGCCAGGCGTGGTGGCCAGATAAGCGGATGGTTCTAAAAAAAATATTTAAAAAAACGTAGCGCGCTTTGAAACGTGCCGTGGCCATCTCGTGAAAAGGGATTCCGTCAGCTTTCTGCGCCAGACACAGGCACGGCCGACGGTCAGGTATGTGACCCGGTGGCGAAAGGAGTTGGTGTTCTGTTACCAGCAGAAGGAGTTTGGGGAGAGCCCACGTATAGCAAAGGCTAGTGTGTCGACGCCTCAGAGGGAAGTAGCCAAGGGCACGGTCATTTCTCTAGGTTGGATGTGTGGGGAGGATTCGAAGAGTCCAAACCTTAAGAAATACGCGCAGGTCGAGCGGGAGAACCTTAAACACACGCAAAGCGAAAGAGGTCAGCCCCTCAGGATCACGTATCGTGTGGTCTGATTCCACGTATGCAAAGCCCAGAGCGAGCCAATCCATAGAGAGAGTAGAGCAGGAGTTGGAAGGCGGAGAGAAGGGGGGGTATGAGGGGGAGGGGAGGGGTCCCCAGTTTCTTTTGGGGGGGTGATGAAAATGTGCTACAATTAGATCCTGGTGCCCCTCGAACAACTCTCTGAATATATGAAAATGAGTGACTTTTATGGTATGTGACTTCCATTTCAACAAACCCGTTCTTTTTATTATTATTATTATTTTTAAAGAAATAGGCGAAACTGTTCCATAGGCGTTAGATTGACATGATTAAGTGCATCCGGCCACCAGGTTGGTGTCCGGCTGCCCCTCTTTAATTTAAGGAGTTTTGCCATAATTGCAATCATACCACCAGCTGATCCTTGAAGCTTGAAGTTTGTGGGTGATAGTCAAGTCGTCGGATGGCCTTTTTTTTTTTTTTTTTAAATCACATGCATTTTCCACACTGTGGCCATTTCATGAACAGAATCCGGGAGAGATGGACAGGCAGGAGAACAGAGTGTTGGTTATAGAGTTGAGATTCAAGATGGAGGGGCTGTACTGAGACACACACACACACACACACACACACACGCTAGTGAGGTTTGTAGCAGGAAAATTCTTCACTGAGCCCGAAACAGTGTTGGTCTTTCCAAGATGAGAGTTTAGAAGCTGAGTTCGGATGGCTTTTTTTTTTTTTTAATATATTCCCAGCTCCTTCCATATGTTTTCCAACACAGAACTTAATGGAGTGTTGTCAGCGGGTCAGGAATTTTCACTTTCTTTTCGGATATTCCATATGACCCACCCCGGATGGTAAAGACTAAATGAAGATGAGCTGTTCATTTGAATGTAGTGGGGTTGTTTTTCTGTGGTTTTTTTTTTTTTGTGTGTGTGTGTGTGTGGTTTTTTTTTTTTTTTTGGTTTTGTTTTTTTATCCCTTTGTTGCTTATTTTATTTCTTGCACAGCTTGAGCATCTGAGCTGGAAAAAGCATCTTTGTAACCTACAGTAGCTCTGCAGGCATACTGTCCTTAAGAAAAAAAAAATGTCTTAAGGAGCAAAAGATTTGTACAATCCAACAAAGGCATTTGTGTGTGTGTGTGTGTTTTGTTACCACACTGTTCTGCCCTTCTCCAAATTTACCTTGGCCTTTTAATGGGAAGGGATGTAGCGGAGAATTGCTGTTTACGTTTGTTTTGGGTCTTTGTTTTGGCTGAGTTCACCCAAGAAGAATGTGTTGCAAGAGCAGGGCAGTAAATGCAAATGAAATGGATCATTTTCACTTGTTGCCTTAAGAGCAGTGCCAGTGGGGGGGGGGGGGGGGGGGAACCCGGGGGATCCCTTAGGGATGGCCGCTTCCTTTTCAATCCAGGTTTTCATTGGTTTTGTAAGAACG